AGCTAGTGGTACTCCACTGTACATGTGTATATGAATGTATGCATGTATGCGTGTAAAAAATGTCAATTCCAGTTTGATTTTAACCCATTTAGCGGACATAGTTTTTTTTGGTTTCAGCTGGTTGCAACTGTTAATGAAGCACAATTTTTATGTTTAATCTTTATGAAAGTTACATGTATCGTCGAGAACATGGTTATATGCAGAATTTTAAATTAATTAATATTATTCACCATACAAAATGTACGAGTATTGCTTTATTAAATGCAAACTTATGCGAAAATGTAAATATTTCGCAAACATGGGGTTAATGGTTTCGCGCACGTGCCAATCTGGTGCCGATTCGCAGAAATTGAATAATTTGTGTAGATGGAAGCGGCGAGGGGAAGACGAAAGCAGAACAATCGTGTATATGTATGTTTATATGTACATTTATAAATGCATACATACTTACATTCTCATTTGTTTGTCTTTTTGGATGCATGAAAAATTTGGTAGCAGTAATGAAATGAAGTTTACAAATATGTGCTTTATAAATTTAGGTTTAGTTATTAATAAATTAGATATGTAAATGACAATGTGGGGGGACAAATATGCACATGAGTAGCGGAGCTGCCACCCATCCAATGGCAACTTACACGACTTTATTAGAACATATTTGAAAACTGAATAAATATTGAAAATGTTGAAAAATTTGTTAAATAGTTTCGGCTTAGATTAGCGTGATCTTTACTAATTGCTGCGAAAATCCGACGTTTTCAGATTTCAAGTATTTTTAAAAAAAAGTTTCCAAGTCGAAAATAATTAAAAACTGAATTATTTCCATAAATATCGAAAATATGGAAAAAATTCATACAGACTTTCGACTTAGTTTTGTGAGATCTCTACAAAAAAAAGGAAAATAATTCTTTTCACAGGTTTTTTTTAGTCCAATACCAATAGTTTTTTACTTGAAAATATCACAAAAATTGGAAAATGTTATATAATATTCTCAATTTATTTTAACGTTATTTGTACAAATCACCGAAAATAAATTTATTTCCCTACAAATCTATTTACAAAAAAGGCTTACACCAAAAAAGTTTTAAAGTTGAAAATCTAACAAAATATCACAAAAATCGAAAAAATTCTATATAACATTTTCGATTTATTTTCACAATATTTGTAGAAATAACCGGAAAAGAGGATTTTTTTTTTGTCAAAAAATGTTTTCACAAAAAACGCAAACACTTATGAAAGTTTTCTATTTGCAATCATTAAAAAAATATCACAAAAATCGGAAAATGTTATATAATATTTTCGATTTAATTGCATGTTACTTGTACAAATCAACGAAAAAATTTAATTTTCTTACTAAAATAATTATTTTCACAAAATATCTAACACTTTCCAAAATATCACAAAATCATCAATATTCATATTTAATTAACAGTCCAAACGCTCTCGTGAGATTTAGCTCTGTTAATATTCTTCTTTTCTGCTTTGTATTTTGCTTTCGCTGTTAAGTATTCCAAATATTTGTCGCTCTTAAAATGCGCTTCGCCAGTTTAGTTGGCTCGAAAAATGTGGCATTCACAGTTCTTGGACCTTCTCTATAAATATACGTTCTCTGTCGAAAAATGTGGCATTCACAGTTCTTGGACCTTCTTTATAAATATACGTTCTCTGGGCTTGCCGCTCTTAAAATGCGCTTCGCCAGTTTTGTTGGTATTTGACAGTTTCCACGCTGATCCGTTCTTGGTCCTTCTCTATAAATATACGTTCTCTGGCGCCTATGGAGTGCGAGAAATGTGAGAAAAAGCAGAAGAGTAGAGCATTTTGCTACTTTTGTCAGAGCCTCCAGCGTTTGCCGATTTGTGCACATTGTGGAAAAGTGAAGTGCATGCTGAAAACTGGCGATTGTGTAGTAAAACATGCAGGAGTATATACGACGGGACTTGGCATGGTTGGAGCAATTTGTGATTTTTGTGAGGCATGGGTGTGTCATGGGCGCAAGTGCCTACAAACTCATGCCTGTACTTGTCCTCTACAAAACGCAATCTGTCTTGAGTGCGAGTGAGGTGTTTGGGAACATGGTGGTCGTATCTTCAAATGCTCGTTTTGTGATGGATTCTTATGTGAGGATGACCAATTTGAGCATCAAGCGTCGTGCCAAGTTCTCGAATCTGAAAATTTCAAGTGTCAAAGTTGCAATCGACTCGGCCAATATTCATGCTTGCGTTGCAAGACGTGCTATTGTGAGGATCATGTTCGGAGAAAGGGATTTAAATATGAAAAGAACAAAGCTATTCCATGCCCAAAATGCAACTATGACACTTCAGTAACAAAAGATTTGAGCATGTCAACAAGATCCCACAAATTTGGCAGACAGCAACAAGGTGGACCAGCAGATAGTGATGATGAATATGGCGGTTATTCGTATTATGGTGCAGGGGCCTATGGTGGCGGCTCCAGTTATGCCCAGGAGGATGAAAGTGGTGATGATGATGATGATTACGAAATTAGCGACGACGATTCTGATGAAGATGATAGTGATCAATCACAAGAGGGGCAAAATAAAGACAAATAAGGCATTAGTTTGGTTATATTTACATATTTAGCTCCCTTGGCATTTACTACCATCAAAAGAGAATGTATATACAAAGAAATAAAATGAACTAGTAGTCTTTAAAACTAATCCACAGAACACTTATGGGTCGATTACTGATTACAACCGAAGCTCAGTTGCGTTGCGAGTAGTTGAAATCGTTAATGAGGCGACTTTATTCGTATGCAGCAGTTGCCTGGTGTAAATGGCCTATGAACTAAATGCTTTCCTTCCACTTTTGATTCAACTAATCGTCTGTGAAAGTTGAATCATGTTATCCCTATATTGGCAAGTAAATTTTTGTGGTTGCAGTGGAAATTTCGATTGTTAAAATATACACCCCTATGCTGTAATCCGACGTAGATTCGATTTTGCTACGAATCGTTAAATTGGTATGCTGAAATCCGTGTTGTCGTATCTTTGTTTCGAAAATCGTAGGCCATCTTCGAAATTCGTAATGTTGGTATGCCTGAATCCGACGTAGCTGTCATTTTTATGTATTTGTCGGAAATTTTGTACGAATAGCAACTCGTGTCGGAGCGAAACAAATTGTATTAAAATATCAATAAAATAAAGTGTGGAAACGCAAAAATATTATCAAATGTTTACAAAATTATCAAGTCGACAATCACAACAAATCGCTCGCAATACGAAAAACTGGTGGAATGCATGAGCGAAAATCCAGACATTGCCCGAGGCTTTGTAAAAGTAGTTAAAAGGGGATGTGGTGGAATTTTGGGAAAGCGTTGCAAGAAGTAAAGCAGCACAATATTTAGTTGAATGGACGCCCTTAAAAAGAGGGAGCATACATTTATCATTTAAGCTAAATGGATCAGAACTGTCTCGTAGCAATCTCCTTTGTATATTAATGCAACAGTTGGCTGCAGCACGTTCTTTCTCCTGAGACAACCAACTATTTCCACGACTTATTTACACTCAAGCTTGCGTCCATAATCGACCCATAAATCTTCTTTCTGCTTAGGAGTTTTCAGATTCCTTGTACCTACAAATGAAAGGCATTGAATCCACTTACAAAGTTGAAGTAAATTGCTTATACTCACTTGCATTTTAGACATGTAAAGAACACTGTTTGTCCTTCATCAGCAGATCGCAGTTGCAACGTCGCGTAAGACATTTGCATGTGTCCACACTTCGAACATTTACGTTCAACGACTGGACCATCTGCCTCATCATCTGAATTATGTTTATTTTTCCCAAAAACCTTTTCCGGATCATAATTATTGAAATGTATTGTATATTCAACCTCCTGTGCTTCGAAAACTACAAATTAAAAGTTTATTTTGGAAATGGTTATGTTCAGAACGAATAATACGATGTACCTTTTGGTGGGAATTCTTGTCTGCAGTTATAACAAGCGACATTCCCATCTGTATTTAAAGGTGGTAAGATTGATCCACACACCAGGTTGAGAGTTGAATGTTTCCATGTTTTGTTTTGCTGGACGGACAAACAGTCCAGGCACGCACGCGAACTACAGCTGGAAAACTATCGATAGCATTATCGATAGTATCGATGGTTTTTGACTATCGAAAACATCGATGGTTTTGTGAGTACTATCGATAGTTTTTATTCATACATATATTGTTCAATAAGGCACGGTGCACATTAAAGAGATGCGATATGCGATACGATATGAAAGCGACATCGGCATGCTGAGTACGTAGGAATTGGTAGGAAGCGTTGAAAATTGTGCGCACTTGCGCGACAGCGGCACCGCTGCGATATAATATCGCATTCGTATCGCACGTGCGACACCGCTGCGATATAATATTGCATGCGTATCGCACGTGCGACACGGTTTTCTGAACGAGGTGAGACTAGCATTGCGCGGTATTTTTTGTAAAAAGCATGACCATTTCACAGGCGGAAGCATCTTCCTCAGTTTTTTAGCCGAATTTATAAAAAAACCCATGTTTATGAAACTATGCAGACAGCAAAAAACGACTGTACAACAGACATGGCTAGTTTGTCATGGAGAAATATAGCGTCTGAGGTCAAGGACACAGGTAAATGCACAAAAGAATATTTTTTTGATGGTTTATTTGCCTTTGTTTTCACATCTTTAAAAAGAAATTTAAAGAATCTAATAATTTTAAACCTATTTATTTTTGATTTTGAATAGCAAAAAAGATTTGGTGTTTGTTTATATGTTAATGATTAACTATTTTGTTTTAAATATTCAAATAATTACTAACCAGTATAATTAGAAACAATTAAGAAATAATCATGTTATTTACCAATAAAAGAAGAAATCAGATATAATGACAAATACTAAAAATTGATGTACGTATGGAGGTAATTATTTTTGATTATTCGTTATATTTTTATGTTTTTTCCTGAGTGTTATTTTATTATATGTAAGGAGTTTTTAAATTAAAGAGAGAAAGTACAAATGTGTGTGCTCTATTAAACAATGCTACAAAAAATAATGAAGTAAATATACTTGGTAAGTCATGTTATTTTTCAAGTAGGTTTTGCCGAGTGAAGTAAGAATCATGATACGAAATTTTTGTCACACCCCCACACAATCTTGATTTACGGTTAAAAAACCGGTTTTCCGCACTTATAAGCTTGTAACTCAGTTGACTATAAACCGAGTTTAGACCTTTCGAATGATATATGTATATAAACTATTAGAAAACTTAAGAGATCTTTGTGTACAGCGTGGCGATGAATAACTGTAACCCAGGTTTTTTTTTGATAAATAAAAGAGTCCTTTATAGATTTTGCGAAAAAAGTATTTTATTGTTAATTTTCCACAGATTTTACTTTAGTTGTATTAATTAGTTTTTAAATTTTAATCCTTATTTACATTTTCCAGCAGTGAAAACTTTGAAAGAAAAGTTCTTTTGGCACGTAGGTCTTCGTCAGTTAGTTTATTCCATATCTTCTGTAAGCATAGGCTAATTTTCTCCATTTTGAGTCCCTTAAACTCCTCCTTCTGTCCAACCTAAGGCCTCATACTCAAAAATCGAATAGACTCGGAACTGGTGACTAGGACGGCCATTCATTCGACCAACCTTATACAGTTTTTTTCTTTTTTGTACTTTTTTTATACAAAGCCTAAGAAAAAATACACCTGAAAAAGACTTGCGTGACAAATGAACTTTTCTCTCAAAGTTTACACTGCTGGCAAATGTAAATAAGGATTCAAATTTAAAAACTAATTATTACAACTTAAGTAAAATCTGTGGAAAATTAACAATAAAATACTTTTTTCGCAAAATCTATAAGGGACTCTTTTATTTCTCAAAAAAACCTGGGTAACAGTTATTCGTCGCCACGCTGTATTTTCTGTGTTAGTTTTTTCGTATTTTTTCCAAATTTGGCAAAGTTTTCACGCACTATTTTGTAAAGCAACTATACTACTCCTGAATTGATGCAATATTAACATTTGATATATAGTGATTTTTACTTAAAAAAATCGGGGAAATCTGACTAAGTTATTCAACCTTTCATGAGAAAAATAATATTTTTGGCTATATAACTCAAACATTTTTGCTTAACTTTTTTTTTAATTCAGCTTTCACTGATTTCTCCTTGTAGTGAACGCAATATTCTGAAATAATTTGTCATGAAAATTTGAATATCTCATTTAATTTTTAGCCGAATTTGTAAAAATAAACATCAGTTTTACTCAATATTAAACATACTTTTCTCTTAAATTTTTTAAAAGTTTATAGATCGTCGCCTGGGTCATACGTCATACGTACGTGCGTAACATACGACAATCTTTTACCCAGGCGATGAGATATAAACATAGACCCATCATTCGAAAGGTCTAAACTCGGTTGAGAAGCAACTCATTTACAACCTTATAAGGGCACAAATGTTTGTGTAGCTATCACAAAATGGTATCCCGTGTCGCATCGCGTATCGCATCGCTCTAAT